GCTTGCCATTTCAAATGAATGAATTGTTTAGAGTTATTGGAAGGAGTCCAGGGATACTTGAGTTCCTTTTTTAGCGATACAAATTCTGAGCTATTGGACTTTTATAATTACAGTCTAATTTCTGCATTATGATTTGTACTGTTTGAGAGGTGAACTTGTAAAAATTCAGCCTGTTCCCTTTTGCTGCCCTGTAGAACAGATCATGGCCATGGGCCGGTTTACTCGTACCATTTTCTTACTTGTCTTTTATGTCAAAGACATCAGTGGAACATGTTGGTTTTTGTGCATCGTTTAGAGTGAGACTCAGTTTCAGTGCCTTAAAGCATTGCAGCGTGCATGACTGGGCAGGCGTGAATAGGTAAATCCATAGGGTTGTGATTGCTAAAGTCCCACTGAAACAGACATGTGAATACTTTTACCGTAAAGTACAAGATGAAACCAGACTGTGGACAGTGTCTAAAAGTCTGTGATGCTCTTTGCTCTGCCTGTCTCTCGGCCAGTCTGGCATTAGACTTGGAGGAGGTGTGCCCAGATGGTGAACTAAGTATTGTTCAGAGCAGGAAAAATCTTTTTAATGAGGTGGCCATGGTGAACTCCTGGGATTCCCAGCCTGCACCGCTGGTTTGCAGAGCCAGCCCCGTATTCTCCCTGGTGGCACTCAGGCAGTCTCTGTTTGTGGTCAGAATTCCCTGCTGTTTCCAGCCAGCCCAGGCTGTGAGTGTTTTCACACGGCTCTGGCTCTGGTGATACAAAGGGCACACAGTGCCAGCCATAACACTGAGTAATGCCGGGAGGTGCCTTCTAGAACAAACAATGTGGGTGAGCTCTGCAGAGAGGGAATACCTCTGGCTTGACATTTAAATTACTGAATTATTCAAATGAATGTCAATTCGGTAGAGTAGACTTTCTGCCTTCTGCCAGGGCACTTCCTGGATATTCGCACAGGCAAGTGTAAAATACTTTACATCAGATATGGTGCTTCCTGTCAGGACTGTTGAAAATCAGTCACAGAATGTGATTATCTGTTCCTTAGTGTTTCTTGATGTCTGCTGTATTTATATCACAGTCTGAAAGATTGGGAATCCGCACACCCATACCTGTGGCCCTGAAAGTGGTTTTGGGATCATTGTTGAACCCCACCCCCACTCCCACACCAAATAAAACATCACAGGCCCACACATGTCATGCTTATTCCTAAATTTGACAAGACTAAAAAAGTGAGTCATGGGCATTTTGAGTCTTGCTGTCTTCCTTAGAATTGTGGATATTAATATCTGAGAATGTCCTGACTACCTTGCTTTTAACCTTGTTAACTTAGTAAGTGTAGTTCAGAAAATCCTTCTGTCTACTCCACTCTGTCAGATGAAATTGCGAAAGTGGCATGTAGCGAATGTGAGTGTGTGCATGCATGTGTGTGCACTTGTGTGGTCATTCTGTCATTCTTAGGAATTTAGGGTCTTCATTTATATTTGGGTACATAGAAAAAATAAATACATGAAGGACTTTTCTAATGAGTCATATGGGAATATACAAAGTAAGAAGATTGAATGGTAGATGAGGAACAAAATAGGAAAGAGAAGTTAGTGAAGGTTTTATACTTCCCCGTTAGCTAACTGTTGGACTCAGCTCAGGGTTCTTTCATATCAGAGATTGAGTTAATTATTACATATCATTAACTGTTGTCTTTCCTTGCCTTTTTCTCGATTGCGGAGGGTAGGGTAGATCAAAACCCTGGTATTTGATATCTTACTGAAAAGAATCACCAACTTAGAGGTAATTAACCCCTGGTTGTCTACATACAACTACAGGAAGTATAGAAAGAGTTTGAGTAGAGTGCTTAATAACCGAATGAATCCCTTTGACTTAGTTTGCGACCCTGAAGGATTAAAGCCTAGGTACCCCACAGAGTTAGGTACAGTGAGCTGAATTTTACTGACGGTGAAAACTCTTTAGGTTATAGTCCAAACATTTGTCAGGTTGCCTGCATAGCCTGTCAAAAACTAGAGACCCTGGAAAAGCAGTGCCTCTTCCTGCATCTGTGGACTTACTTAGTTTGGGATGAAACTTTAAAAACAGAGTTAATTTTGAGAGCACATTAGAGAAATGATTGTTGTTGTTACTTTATTTATTTATTTTTAATTTGGCATTTTAAAATTACAACCACAGGTGTCCTTAATCCTTTGGTTCCCTGGACTGTCCATTTCTGGAGGACCAATGAGCGGGCTCTCTCTAGTCTAGAGTTGCTGGTTTATTGTTATTCTTAGCAGCCCATACATGCAGCGGGCTGAGTAAATCATACTCGTCAATTCATTATTAGTCCATGAACAGCTCTCTCCTACTTTATTTTTATTTTGCTCCTTTGTCCCAGCACTAACGCCTTACTCCCCAAACCAGCGTCAACAGGCACATACTCTTAAATGGGTTAGGTATCTGTCCTGGGGTATCTATGATCTTTGAAAAATACTCAGGATTTTAAAATCCATATTTGTGTTTCAAATTTACATAAATTGCATTATTTCAGTTTTTAGCGTAGTCTTTTCAGTTCCCTGCTGTAGATCACAAGTGAATTAGTCTGACACCATGAACTCTCCCCCTCACCCTACCCATCCACTTCCCTCCAAAGAATCATCACCTGTTGGGCAGCATAGTTGGCACCCCTCAGCGTGCTTTGTGCCATTCAAGAGTGGCAAGCATGTCTAGACTCCCTGGAAATATTATCTTTCAGCTCTCTTTTGGCAAGTGTAAACTTTTTGCTGGATTATGTCAACAGATATATATGTTTCTCATCCTCATAGAAATAGATTGGTGCTGGAATTTCCTTCGGATTTCTCCAGGCAAAGAACATAAAGACTATCTCTTTGCTCATTAAAACTTTCGCTCATTAAAAATGTTTGAGGGCTCTTGATTCTCAGGGGTGAGACTGGTGACATACATAGACTGTCAGCGGCTATTTTGGATTTTCTGCTTTCAGGCATGTCTTTGCTCTTGGATGAGCCCCTTGTGGTTTTCAAAAGAACTAGCAAGTCAATTATAAATAGAAGGCTGTGTCTGTGTGTCTGCATGCACTTACTCTGTGGGCTGAGGCACCCACATTATAGTGGGCAGTGAACTATTTTTCCACTTCTTTGAAGAGGGAAGAAAAAAGATTAAGAATGCTTTTCTCTTTTTGAGATAACCCACATCTCTACACACACCCACACAAATCTGTGTAAATGAACTTGACATTTTCAAAGACCTTACCTTAACGTCTCCTCTGGAAAGCACAGCCACCCGACCTGTTATTTTAAGAAAGAAGCATTTATCTCACAGACTCACTACTGAGGGTTCAGGGATTAAGGCAGCTTCTATATGCCATAGACTTTTGAAGGGAGCTCTGAAAGCTGAATTTCCTTATATGAACAGTGCTTCGGCAAAAGTGGCCTCAGCTAACTAATCAGTGGCCTCTAGGACTCGGCCGTTTACATTTTATCCACACTTTACTTCCCGACTAGTAGAAACTGTGAGACCAGCAAATCTAAACTAATCATACTGACAAGGGAAGAGGAAAGAGTAATGTGAAAATGAAACTGCAAATTCGTATTCTCAGAAAGAGGCAATTAAGCGGAGTGATGAGGTGTGCTTCCCTCTTCATCCGTTTCTGCAGCTCTTGCCATTTGTACTCTGAGTGCACCAGGTGTGGATTCTTCCTGTGGTCCTACTTGGCACCTTATTTGTCAAACATTGTTCTATTCCCTTTGTCTCCTTGTGCCCTTGTTCTCCATATTTGGCACCAGTTTTTTTGTTCCTGCCAGCCAAAAATTCAGAAGCAGCTATTAATTCCCACTATCATCTATGTAAACTTCAGTGTTACCACTATTGCAAAAGTTAGTCTAGGCTTCTAGCTGGAAATATTGGTACCGTGGATTGTAATTATAGATTGTGAATTCTTGCAAACTCTTTTTTTTTTTTTTTTTTTTAAAGACAGTCTTGCTCTGTAGCCCAGGCTGGAGTGCAGTGGCATAATCTTGGCTCACCACCACCTCCACCTCATGGGTTCAAGTGATTCTCCTGCCTCAGCCTCCTGAGTAGCTGGGCTTACAGGTGCGCACCACCACATCCAGCTAGTTTTTGTATTTTTAGTAGAGATGAGGTTTCACCATGTGGGTCAGACTGGACTTGAACTCCTGACTTCGTGATCTGTCCGCCTTGGCCTCCCAAAGTGCTGGGATCGCAGGCGTGAGCCACTGCGCACAGCACAAACTCTTATTATATTATACGTTGAACATCCCAGATCCCAAAACCTGACATTTGAACTGCTCCAAAATCCAGACCCTTTGAGCATTGACCCAATGCTCAGTAGAAATGCTCATTGGAGCATTTTGAATTTTGGAGTTTTGGAAATGAGGTGCTCAGCCGGTATAAATACAAATATTCCCCAATCCAGAAAAATTTTAAATAAGAAACATTTCTAGTCCTAAACATCTTGAGTAAGGGATACTCAGCTTGTTGTAGATTTCTGTCATGTGGCTTCAAGAATGTCAGCCTTCCTCATTTTACTAGTTGGTGGGGATTTGTACAGAGCTAGCAAGAATTGATATTAATAGCTGCCATATATTTAGGAGCGTTTTTTTGGAATAGAATAAAGGTGATAAACATTATTTTCCAGTAAAACATTTTATTTTGATGCAGTAATTGGGATCTGAGAGCCAATCAAGCTGAAGGTTATATGAACACCATAGGGGAGAAGCTCATTTTCAGAAGTCTGTGGACAGATGATAGCCAATCTTTTTCTTAATATGATCTAAAAGGGTGCACAGCTTATATAAATGAATTGCTACATTGAGAGGCAAGTATTATTTGTTGGTTGGTTAAGCGACAATCACAGAATGTGGACCTCTTGGTCAATAGTGATGCTTAGCTTGACTTTCTGTTTGATAGAGGTGTTTGGAATGACCATTCTCTCAATGAAGGTGAAACTCACACAGTAATTCTTTTTTTCCCTACCTTTCTCTCCTTTGCAGATGAGAAGCCCAAGGTCAATCCCAAACTCTACATGTGTGTGTGTGAAGGCCTATCCTGCGGTAATGAGGACCACTGTGAAGGCCAGCAGTGCTTTTCCTCACTGAGCATCAACGATGGCTTCCACGTCTACCAGAAAGGCTGCTTCCAGGTTTATGAGCAGGGAAAGATGACCTGTAAGACCCCACCGTCCCCTGGCCAAGCTGTGGAGTGCTGCCAAGGGGACTGGTGTAACAGGAACATCACAGCACAGCTGCCCACGAAAGGTTCTTGTGGACTTTTCTATTTTGAGATCAAGGGGTTTTGTTAGTGTGCTCCTGAGTCTGTGTGGGTTAAAGATCTAAGTAGCTACGAGGCGTTCCACCTACATTTGGAGCCAGAGGCGAAGAGCTACAAGGAAGGTAGCCCTGGGTGAAGAAGAGAAAGGACCAGCCTTTTGGCATCTAAAAGAAGGATGGGCATTTTGGGGAACGTAAGCAAGGTGACGTCCATCTTGGGGACAGCTTGGCTGACCAGTTAGCTCTCTCTTGGTTACTGTGACTCAGGTGAACAGCTCCCAATACCTTTTTATGTTGCAGAGTCATGATGTTATTCATAATTTCTGAAACAATTCTGCTCGCAAATACTCATCTCTGTGAAGTATGTAGGGAGGAAATGGAACGGACTGGTGACTGAGTGGAATGCCTTTCCTGTTTTATGAGGAAGGAGACAAAAAAGGCTCACTGACCTTTTCTCCCATATCTGATGCCCAGTGACCTATCACTGACACTAGAAGCAGGATGAGATTTCACACAAATCCTGTAGTTTATGTGGAATCTTCTCTCTACCATATTCAATACAGATTGCATATGTTATAGAAACCAATCCTCCTTTTAAACTGTTGCCCTATTAAATGAGCCCTAAATTGCATAAATAGTCTGCAACTATTAATGTAGACTCATTCTAAGGCAAATTTATTCTCTTACGACGTAGTACCTTTTTAATAGGTTTAATTATTTAGTTTTGTACTCAGAAAAAAGAAACAAACCAAAAAGTGGAGGAGTGGTAACAAGCAGCATCTAAACCAGAAATGTCAGCCAGCAAGGAAGGAGACAGAAGAACAAAAAAGCCAATGCAAGATCATGTTCTAGGAATTTTGAAGTTTTGGTGATGACTTTAAGGCATATAGAAAAGGTTAAATTCTGACAAGCAAAGAGGATTGAATAATCAAAAAAAGGATTTTAAAATAGATCAAGTATTGCTTCTTGGCCTTTTGGCTAAGATCAAGTGTAAAATAGATCATGTATTTACATGGTTAAAACTAAAAGCGTCCTTGATGGAATAAAATTTACTGTTATACTTTGTGAGTTAAATTTTTATTAATTGAGTTGATAGACATGAAGAAATGTCTGAATTCATACAAAAATTATTATGCCAACAGTGTGAAGTTTCTAATCTGCAGATCACTCTGCTAGACCTTGAGTTTTAATAGAAGATTTTTTTTTTTTTGAGATGGAGTTTCACTCTTGTGCCCAGGCTCCATGGAGTCCAATGGCATGATCTCAGCTCACTGTAGTCTCCACCTCCCTGGTTCAAGTGATTCTCCTGCGTCAGCTTCCCTAGTAGCTGGGATTACAGGCTCGCGCCACCATGCCTGACTAATTTTGTATTTTTAGTAGAGACGGAGTTACTCCATGTTGGTCATGCTGGTCTTGAACTCCCGACCTCAGGTGATATGCCTGCCTCGGCCTCCAAAAGTGCTGGGATTGCAGGCTTGAGCCACGGCACCTGACTGATTTTTTAATTTAAAGACATTCTCATTTGATTAGGGATGCCACAGTATATATAATTCAATGTTGCATTTTGTTAGTTTTCTACGTTCTCATACAAATGACATATGCCATGGAGTATGAGGTATGCCAAGCTGTTGATTAGTTGGGCTTGGAAAGTTAAATACGTAAAGGAATTTAGGCTTGTGATTGGGTGACTGAAGAGACCAGTAATATGGAAATGAGTAAGGCATATGTAGGGAGGAAAAGGGCCTGAGGACATAATCTTATGAAGAGGTCTGAACCCAGGGAGTGAATCAGTGAATTAATGTCTGAATAAGTAAGTAAATGAAGAGAAGAATGAATACGTTCCTAGGCAGAAATTGTGATGTAAAAAAAAATCAATGAGAGATCAGCAGTAGACACCCAGGATATACTGAAGACAGAGACCACAGATGGGTAATTTGGTTTTAGCTCAGATAGCTCTTTCTCCTAAGGCTATTACAGTGTAGTGTCTGTAAGGGCTTGATGGTGAAACATACCATACCAAATCCAAGTTGCTAAGACTGATATCAATTTCAGATTCATGTATTAATACCATTGATTCTCAGTGGAATTTAAAAAAATTCCTAGTTGTGTCGAATTGAATGATGGTTAAATGGCTGGGCCATTGGCCAAGTATTAGGAAGTGTTTTAGTTTTAATACTTTGTGAGTTATGACACTGTGTGGTTGGGATCAGGAGCTACTTGTTAGGATATTGGTTACGCTAATAATAAGTAAGCAGTGATCCTTACAACCAATTCCCCCTTTTCCCCGCAACTGCAGGCAAATCCTTCCCTGGAACACAGAATTTCCACTTGGAGATCGGCCTCATTATTCTTTCTGTAGTGTTCGCAGTATGTCTTTTAGCCTGCTTGCTGGGAGTGGCTCTCCGAAAATTTAAAAGGCGCAATCAAGAACGTCTCAATCCCCGAGACGTGGAGTATGGCACCATTGAAGGGCTTATCACCACCAATGTTGGAGACAGCACTTTGGCAGTAAGTCATGACCCCACAGGGAATCCCAAGCATAAGGAAGATGTCTGGAGACACATTCTTATTTCGAGCATGAAACGCTAACCAGTAATGAGTGACTGAACAGTGTACACACATGCTGTTGGTTACTTATGTCCTAAACAAGCACATGCTGGCACCTGTGTAGTCTTCCCATATCAGAACAGCCATTTTCGACAGACATTTAAATAAAGGATGGGATTTATTTTAGTAGTGTTGGTAGTTAGTTACTTTTCTTTGAAGAGTAAAGCAAAAGAGACAGGAGAATGGTTGCCTGCAATTTTGGAGAGTTGGAATTTGTGGTCTTCAGTTACTCTATTTTTAGCCACGAAAGTGCTCTTTTAAAAAGGCACCTTTTGCTTACTATTAAAGATGAATTTCCTTTCTAGATTATCTCAGCACCCTGTAATTTAAGGCTTAAAAACTTGACATCCAAAAAAGCAGCTTTGAAATTTTGTATGCTCCTGTGGTGCCCCCTTGTGGAGTGCAGTCATTTGGTTAAACCCTTGTTGTCCAATAGAAACGTGTGCATCACATAGGTAATTTTACATTTTCAAGTAGGCACCTTAAAAATAAACAAATGAAAAAACCCCAAAAGTTTCTTAAAAGTAGAATTAATTTTAACAAATATTTAACCAAATGCGTCTCATTTTTGTCATTTCAACGTATAACTGATTAAAAAATTATTAATATACATTTTACATTCTTTTTGCTTTTGAAGTAAGTTTTCAAAATCTTGTGTATTTTACACCTATAGCATATATCAGTCACACTAGCCACAGTTTACTTGTTCATGGCAACGTGTCTAGTCACTAACCCGTTGGATTGCACAGTGTTAGAAACTATTGTATTTATACATTAAATTCTTTTGTGTATTTTTAATGATGAAATCACATTAAAAAGTGACTTTCACCTTTTATTTACCATTTAAAATTGCTTACCAAGTGTTCATTTTAAAGAAACTTTGAACTTTAAATGGGGAAGGTATATCACTTGCTGTAAATAGAAGGTTATCATAAAGTGCAAAAGAAAAAAATAACAACATTCTGCATGGATGTTATACTGAGTCTGATGCTTACTCTGAAAAAAATTTGAGATCTGTGGGTGTTAAGCGAGTGTAAGAGACATGCAAAACCAATTTGAGACTCTCCTTGTGACAATCTGATGAATTGAAAGGCAGTCAAAGTGATAACTTTCTAATGTGATTCACTGTTACTTAATGCTGTTGCCCATGTGTATTTGAAATCATTTCGCAGTAAGACTTGTTCTGCTATAAAACAAGTTTCCAAGTGCCAAATAGTTCTATGGTTACACTTGCCCTGCAGCTCCGCTGATGCTGGAGACTTCCCCTCACCAGTGGCCGTCTGGGTAGCTCAGATGCTACACCTGGACAATTGCAGGATCCGCCTGTGACACGTTGTCACAACATTTGGTGGTGCCTGATATGGGCTGGGAAACATCCCATTCTACTGCCTGCCCTATCACTGGGCCACTTTTTGGTATGTAAAAGGGGGAAGTAACCTTCTGTAGCTTCCACTTACCTACTGTTTAAACTGTGGTACAGTGGAACTGGGGAAAGCGAATGCAGTATAAGGACATTTCATTTCAAAAAGTAGAGAAATACAATTTTTTTGTTAGATATATACTTAGAAGTCTATTTCAAGCTTTAAGGAAAATTAAATGAGTTTATTGAGTTAGTAGCAAGAAGATGTGAGGATGAATCCTGACAAAGCTTTAGCAAAGCAAGATTCTAAAATAAGTTTGTTAGAACTTCATTCTTCAGAGCTGCTAACGTAACTAATTACCAAGGGCAATAATAGGAATATTTGGTACAAATTACCATTTAAATAGCTTTTAGAATTTTGAAAGAGGAATAGAGCATATGCCAAAATAGTCTTTTAAACTCAACCATGTCATATGACAGTATATCATGATATAATAACACAGTAAAGAACACTATTTAAAACACGTTATCATTGTTGGTCTGCATACTTACTTGCTTATTTAAGCAATATGCTCATTTGTGTATTTCAACAAAGCATACCCTTACTAAACTGCACATCTACATTGAAAAACAAGCCTTGGCCATGCATAGTGGCTCACACTTATAGTCCTAGCACTTTGGGAGGCCAAGGGGGAAGATCACTTGAGGCCAGGAGTTCGAGACCAGCCTCGGTAATATCGTGAGACGTTGTCTTTAATTTAAAAAAAGAAAAGAGAAGAACAAAAAGAAGACTTGGTATCTGGGAGTTGAGATACATGCTTATTACATGCTTGGGTTGATGTTTTTTTTCCCTTCCTTAGGTCTATGAACTGCATTTAGAAGCAGGATTATACATTATGAAAAAAACAAAACAGTTTAATTTTCAGAATTATTCTTCTTGAAGAAAGACTGAATGAATAAGGAGAAAAAAGAACCGCAAGAGAGAAAATGGTTAGGGAGATATGAAACTCTGCTTCATCTACACTCATTTTCTTGTTGATTATCCCTTTTGTGGTTTTTAAGGGTTCTAAATTTCTTCCGTTGGATGTTCAGCTTTTGGTAATTTTGCCGATCAACAGTACTTGACAGTGGTGCTCAGAGGAAGTGAAAGAAGATGAAATTCACACAAATCAATGTATTGCTTTAGTAGGCCAGCCACATGTTTGGGAAAGGATGAGCTTTGACAAATATTAACTGAATATTACTGCAATCCTACCTCTGTCATCCATGGACACAGTATTGTTTATTATCGATAACCTATGCCTGATACCAAAAGACATTCTGGTTCTTGGCTTATGCTGAGAGTAGGAAGGAAAACTTTTATCAATGAACTAACTGGGAATCTTTTTGCCAACACCTTCTTTTGTAGACGTTAACTTGGGATACTGGCTTTATGTTTTCAATGAAGGCTTTATTTGTTTCCTTCTCAGATTTGTGAGTGATTCATATTAAGAAATGACAAGTAGGTGTTAATATAATTTTGCTTCTCACCTGCCTAAAAGGAAACCTCCATCCAGGCAGCCCATTTCTCCCTGAGCGTACCAATTTAATGATCCACATGGTCGTTGGAGTCTTTTGTTACAAACCACATTAGAGTTGTTTGTTCCTTATTTCTAGTTTGTTTGTTCCTAATTAGAGTTCCTTAGTTGGTATGGCAACTAAAGTGAATCATTTGACAGATACTTAGTGAGCATAGCAGAATATGGTAAATTACACCCAGTTCTTGAAGTTGAAAGGACATCTCCCCCTTTCTGTTCCACCTGCTATTCTCTACTGTTTCCCTTGTGCTCGGCTCTGCTTCTTGGACTTCCTGATTTACACCTTCAACTTTGTCTGCTCAGCTTCTTTCATTAGATATTTTATTTTGAAACTCTGCATATAGGAAAGGACTGCTTCTCCTTCAGGAAAACTTATCATATATTAGGTAAGGTGCTAGCTTCTAGTATTCCAAAGAAATAAAACCAGTCCTTCTTCCTTCTTCCAGAGGAGCTTTACATGCACACTAACAGGCCATGCGTCCCGGGTTGCTGCCCCTCATGTGAGTTATAATGTCATGCATGCTAGTACTCCAAAGTGGGGGCTGTATTGCTCAATAGTTTCTTTTCCCCTTTGTCTTAAACTACAGGATTTATTGGATCATTCATGTACGTCAGGAAGTGGCTCTGGTCTTCCCTTTCTGGTACAAAGAACAGTGGCTCGCCAGATTACACTGTTGGAGTGTGTTGGTAATTCATTTTTTTCCTTTCTTTGTGGGTAATATGCAGTGTTGTGGTTTTCAAAGTAAGATGGAACTTGGAAAATCTGCTTTTTGTTGCCTGTTGTTTTCTTATTAAACTTAGGGGATGTGGTCACTATTCCGTCTGACTCAACGCTGGAGCACCTGAACTTGTTGAAGCTCTTATCAAAGGAGTCTGCTAATTAGTACAGAGAATGCCTAGTCAAAAGCTTTCAGTTGCAAGTGGACCCTTTGGGAGGATGAGAGAATGATTTCATATGATTGCTTTAAAATACCTATAGTAAGGAGCAACCATATCAATTCATTCTAAAAAAGCCCCAAATGTGCTCATTAATTTCAACTACAATTGTTCTCTTCTTAAAAAATGAATTGAAAGGGTTGCTCCTTACCATAGATATTGGGTACAAATTTATGTCCTTACCATAGATACTGGATATAAACTTATATCCTTTTTTTCAGTTTTAAGCTCATGAACATTTCATGTGTTTGTACACATCACAAATATTTTTAAAGATTATGGAGCAGTCCATGGCATGGTAGTGTAACTATACCCATACTGCTTGAGAAAGACTTTGCACACATTGCTTCTTTCTTTTGAGTTCTTAGAAAAAATTTCCAGGAATTGGGGGTTCCTGGATCAAAATTTGTGAAAATTTTTTATAGCTTGTTTCATATGCTGCCGATTCGCTCTCTAGGAAGATGGTACAAAGTGCCTATTCCCTGATTTTTGTTAGCTTTACTTTTACGTGGTGGGTATTTGCAAGCTGCATAACCATTTTCATAAGTTTCTCTTTAAGATGGCTTGCAAGGATGGCTGCAGTAGTAATAATGGGTTGGCAGCGTCTCTACACCTTCCTCCTAGTGCTCCTGATTTCTAAGGATGGACTCTGCAGCTCCTGCCATTGCATCTTTTGCTTTTGGGAAGTGACTCGTAAGCTGCCCCCACCACTTAGCTGCTGTTCTCCAGATTTTTTCTTGTTTTCATGGAAAGAGGGACACCCCAAGCTGAGTAGTAGAAAGGGGGATGGGCAGAGGTAGGAAGAGCAGTGGCTGCCACCCCAAGGCACAGGAATACCTGGCAGGAGCTTGGTTGTTCTTTCTCTAGGTCTACAACTATTGCCACTGTTTCCCCCTTCTCGCTTCTCCACAGCAGACTGTGAATAGAGAAAGATGGAAAAGCCCCAAATGTGCTCATTAATTTTAATCAGAGTTGTCCTCTTATATCAACTAGAATCTTATTTGATTATGAACAAGATTATCTGGGTAGTGGTGGGAAGACACTGAGGGGATCCATTTCCCTGTCTCACCCCCTAGCTCTCCTATCTCGTGCATGCTATCTCAAGACTAATCTTCAGAGATTGGCTCCAGAGTCCAAAGGGCAAATAGTGATGCACCTTTAAAATGTAGAACCACCTTTCTGGTTTGTAGATATTCTTCAGCATTTTTTTGAAACAGTATAAATATAATTACTGCATTTTCTTGAGTTAGGACTAAAGATTTTACTAAAAGCAATGCCTTTCAGTAGCTTGTAATTTGTTCATGTGGTTTAGCTTTTAGTAAAAATACATATGATAAACTGCATGGATGCTATGTTACCATTTTTGGTTTGAAAACTTGGGAAGTTGGGTTAGGGGAGTCATTTCTGGATGATGATCAGTGAAACTACAAATTTCAGGTGCCTTACGGGAGCCATTTGGTGGGGCTCCATGACCAGGGCCTTTGGGCAGCTCTGCTTTTGTTTTAGGGGCTTCCGCATCATGATGCATTTGCAGAAAGCATTTAACAACTTAAAAGCATTTAAAAACTATTGAAAAAATTTCTATTTCAATTTACCTACCTCAGCATCTCCTGCTTTCTTTGAAACAACAACTAAAAGGATTTGATGTAATTTTATGTCTACAATTCCCTGGGTTATTTTGCTCTCATTCCTAATGAGAAAATGAGGACAAAGGGAAAATAAAGATACAAAATAGAACCAAAGGCAGGAAAAGATGAGCATATCATTTGCTGGCAGCCAGTATTTGTAGTGTATCAGCACTAGCCCTCACCTTGAGCTATAAATGCTGGGCAAATTGCTATGACTTTATTAAAAGGAATCCCGTACTAAATTATATTTGTGTGACCTAACAGTGGCCCACAAGGAGCACTTGTTAGCCACATTCAACATCCTTTTGGGTTAGTTGTTGGTATTTAATAGGGACATGATTTTCTTGTCCCGTAGTGTAGATTTAGTGGTTGTGGTTATGATTCAGGTGTGTTTCCTGGACAGACCTGCTTCTCTCTCCATGTTTGGGTTTTCAGTGGCTTAGTGTTCCAGCAAAAAACTGTATTCCTGTAGCTGCAGGTGGTGCTGCAGCTGCTAAGTAGAAGCTGTGTGATTCCAGCAGCCACTTGCCTGGGTAAAAAGCCCCACTCCCCTGCAAGTTGTATGTCTTGCTTTGTTATCCAGGCTGATTATACCCCTTGTTGATCCTCATAGTCTTGTGGTAATTACCTCCTCCTCCAACCTCCCTGATCACAACTACCTATAATTAAAAAGAAGAATGGAAGAGGGAGCATGTAGTTCGACGAGCTGACAAGTGTGTTGCTGCTGCAACAGGGGGCCATGCACCAGAAAGATGAGATCACAAGTGGCGTTGCCACATTTTCCAAAATGTATTCTCCAAGTGACATTTTCAGTGTAGACCACTGGTAGCATCACGGGAGCCGTCTCACAAACAAATACCCATGACCAGTGTCAGAAGAAGTCAGAGCTGTCCTGGGATTATGTGTGTATTTAAGACTTTGCATATCCTCTTTTGAAATACATCTTCCGCCAAGAGATCTTTGTGGATAGCAGTGGCTGCTTGTCGATCCCCTACACAGTATCACAGCATTATGTTTTGTTTTGTTTTTGTTTTTTAATCCTTTAAAAACATTTTATACTTAATTGTTCTCCTTTGTGGAAAAAAAATGCATATCTAAATTCACCAATTTGAACTTAGAAAGTGCCTATGTTGAACCTGTGTGGAGGGAAGGAACCAAGGAGGGAATTCAATTTACTGATGTAAACTTTTTTGGCTTTTAGAACACAATTGAAATCTAATAATCTGTACCATTTCCTAAGTTTTACTTTCATGTGTTTTAAAAATCATATGCATTTTATACCTTTCAACAGAGGAATTTAAATGTAAACTGAGTAATTAGCAGCTAATTATACAATGCGGATACAGAAGGCAGTTTGTTACCACAATGTGGTAGATGAGAGGGGCAGCTTCTACCTTATTTTTGTATGTCTTTATAGACCAAAAAAAAAACTAAACTAAAAATTAAAGGTTGTGCTATTTATATTCCCAAGCTGAGTTTCTCCAGTAAGGAATGGAAGGGAGTAAGAGTTGCCTGCACTAAATTAATTGGCTTATTCTTAATGATAGGCTGGCTACCTACAAAACGCCTACTGTTCCGTGTCACCTATGTTTTGTTTTCCATAGGGAAAGGCAGGTATGGTGAAGTGTGGAGGGGCAGTTGGCAAGGGGAAAATGTTGCTGTGAAGATCTTCTCCTCCCGTGATGAGAAGTCATGGTTCAGGGAAACAGAATTGTACAACACTGTGATGCTGAGGCATGAAAATATCTTAGGTAAGTACAAGGATAACTCCCTCATTAATTCTATCTAGAGAGAAATAATTCTCTGCCTTTGCTCTCTCTGTTTTGGTGAATGTGAATTTGAGAGTGTCTCCTAAAAAGCAATATAGGGATCCTTAGCATTTATATGCTGTTTAATTTTCTCAAACACAAGTTTCTTATTTAAATCTGCAAATAAGTTTTAAGACTCTCTGGATGATGAAAAAGAAATCCACTATTGCTAATTCTTATTCCTACATCTGCAGATCGTTATTTAAATAACAAAAATTTGCCCCATATTGTTCACTTCAAGGCTCATTGGTTGTTCTACTTACCCCACCCTTTTTGAATATTTATTACTTGAATCAAACTAAGAAAGATCTTTGGACTATTTCCTAGAGATTCACAGCTCCCAGGGATATCGTAATTAAATGCACATTCCCTCAAACTAGGCATCATTTTTAAAACCCAGATTTGCAGAGGGATTCAGGATACATTTTAATTTAGAAACTAAAGCTTAGCAACATTTGTGAAATATGTAAAGTGCCTGTTGAAATACTGCTATGGCAGTATAAAGGGTGAGCATACTCCTTAGGCCCATTGACTTCTGTAGTTTTGAAAGTTTCCCTAAATGTGTTTATACTGGTATGTGTATGGTGAATGCTGCCTGGAGTACTTCTTCTATAGTGGATATAAAGTTTGGATAGAATTTAACTCTGTATAGGATAGTGTTGGCCACTTTAGGCTATTGGATTAGGTCTGGCTCATAGGAAGGCCATTGCCAGAATTTATTTCTATTTTAGCACTGCCAATTTAGTATTTAAATGAGTCAAGTTGTCTGCAAATAATGATTTGACAGTTGTCCAAAGCTTCAAAGCTTTGCTTCCGTAGTGTGGTGGTGATGTTCCATCTCAGAATTGTTTCAGTTTCTGTAGTTGATTTCTCACTTTTGCTTATCCATCGGGTCCTAGTCATCACTTAATCCTCCTCACCTCAGCTGTCAGCTTTCCCTTTCCAATTCATCTCTCCACTTGGAGTTGTCTTTCATTGGGGAGCAGAGATCTTCCTGCTCAGTGTCTTTGATGACTCCCAAATTAGCCTTCGACACTTGTGACTGCTATTCAAGACTCCCTGTTTTGGGGCTCCAAGGAATCACTTAACCATCCTTTACAAGTATGCCCCGTTCAGCTACTACAATACTGGCCATTCCTGGGGCTTACCACAAACATTTGGGTCTCATTGTCCTTCCTCTGGTCACTCTTGATCACTCACTCTCCCTTTCACATCCTCCAACCATTCCTTCCTCCGTCAAAACCTCTCGGCCCATTTTAGTTTTGCCCAGTGGCATTAATTGTGCTTTTCTGCACTCCCTCACTTTTTACCTGTGCTCTAACTCTTAATCTCACCGCCTTGTGTTGCAGTTAAATGTCTGTGTGTAACAAGAATCGTGACAGCAGTAACAACAAACGTGTAGTGGATGGTTACTATGCAGTAACCACGGCTTTAGGTGCATTATGTGCCTTTTTTCATGGAACTTTCACCGCAACCATAAGAGAATAGGTACTCTTATTTTCCCAGTTTTAGATGTTGTGGTAACCAATATACAGAGAGGTTAAATAGTGGAGGTGGGAATCCCACCAGGCAGCCTAACTCTTAACCACAGTGTTGTACTCAAAACGCAAACATTCTTTAAAAGTGCCTTTGCATTGTAGCTATATAATTCACACTTAAGCAATAAACAGTTGGAAAAAAAAACCCTGCTTATTTAAAAGTAATTTTTTTCCTGATGATCTAGAGCATAATTAAAGTGACAGATAAAATTCTTCCCTAAGACCTAAGGGGCTTAGCAAAGGTGAGAGAATAAAAATGTGTTTGTTATTATTTATTTGTTTAATCAGAAGCTTCTCTTTCTTGGGGGAAGAAATCAGTAGAGGCCACACACATGTAGAACCATAACTTAATTTCTTTTTGAGTGGTGCTTTTAGAATTTGGAGTATTTTTGAAAAAATCATTAAAGATTAGTATTATTTGGTTTAAACGATTAAAGCAGAAATATTTTCTATATTAAGAATACCTGATGTTCAACAACACATTTTGATTCATATTGTGGCCAGCTAAGGGCCCCAAGAGAAACAGCTTCAAGGGGAAAAAGCAGATTGGAGAATAGAGAAGGAGTGGGAGGCTCAGGGCTGGCCATGGGGATAGGCTCATAGGAAGAGAGAGAAAGAGGTAGAGGGTGAAGGTGCTGAAATATTATTCAGTTGGCTTTCCATATGTCCCATAGGTGAAAATATCACATTATTTTTTCCTCTGAGTAGAAATCAGTTTGTCTGGGGACACTATGGCATAGTTGGTAAGATCCTGGGTTTCTTAGAATCAGACCTACAGGGACCATTACTGACCTACTACCGGTGATGTGATATACCTACTTTGTGTGGTTTTTGGAGGATTGCATATAAAGTTCCAGGCACTTAGTACTCAATAATTATTGGGGGCTTCTGTTGTGGTTGCCGATGATGAAGGTGATGATCGAATCGGGGACCTTTCTTGGCTTACAGAGCCTTCCTGTGCAAGGTGTCAGAAGAGCTAGTACCAAATTCAGAGTTGATAGCAACTTAAATAGCTGTGTGATCCTTGGCATCTCCCAGCAGCAACTTTATTATCTGTAAAATGAGCATAATGATGTCTATCTTACCAGCTTGTTGAGAAAAATCTCATGAGAAAATATATGTGAAAGTGACATAAATTTTATATAAAGTACTATGCAAGTATAAAGCATTTTAATGTATTTTCTTTTACATTTTCATAAGTCATTTAATTTTTCTTCAAGCCATATCTGTCTTAAAAAATTCTTTTTTTCTCACCTCTTTTTAAGTCCCAAGCTTCACTGTCTACCAGCGTGGTACATATATGTGAGAATAATCCTAGAAAGGCACCTCTGTAGCAGAAAAGGCAAGCACACGTCACAATTTATTTCATAAGATAGGAAGTGCTCCTAACTTCCAGACAATCTTGTGCATGCTGAAAAGTTTCTTCCAGATGTCTAGAAAGAAATCTCTTCCTGGTTGGGCACGGTGGCTCATGCCTGTAATCCCAGCACTTTGGGAGGCCAACGTCAGGAGTTTGAGACCAGCCTGGCCAACATGGTGAAACCCCATCTCTACTTAAAATATGAAAAATTAGCCAGGTGTGGGTGGCGGGTACCTGTAATCCCAGCTGCTCAAGAGGCTGAGGCAGAAGAATTGCTTGAACCCAGGAAGTGTAGGTTGCAGTGAACTGAGATTGCACCACTGCTCTCCAGCCTGGGCAGCAAGAGTGAAAAGTCTCAAAACAAAGAAAGAGAAATATCTTCCAACCTCTTCATCCACATATGTCAGTCTCTTACTTCACTTCAAGATCAGTTTAGTTGCTACTTCCTGATGGAAGCCTCTTGTAACATCTAGTCTGAAGTACTATAATTTCCTGCTCTGGCTCACATTGCCCTTTATTATAGTACTATAATATATATTATAGTACTTTTCACATTTTTTGGTAATTTTTTCATTTTTATGTCTGTCTTCTTTAGCCAACAAACACTATCATCTTGTTTTTTGTGTGTGTGATTGACAAAGAGCATCATAAATGCTCATTATATTTGGTTGGTTACTTTTTGTATTTGGTGAATCAATCATTTAATGTAAACTCACCCCCTTTATTTCACATCTGAGCAGACATAGGCTAGGGAGCCTAATTGAGTTGCCCAGTATTACACAAGTAAATCACAGGCAGTGTCAGGACTAGAATACAGTATTGAGGTTTTAGGTTTCATGTTCTTTTAGGATAGCTGATGAATGGTCTGTTCCTGAAATATCAACTTGCTGAAGGGCTTGGCACTATCATTATGAGTGAGCACAGAGAGATTATTGCTATCTGACTCTTAAGGAATGTGAAATATTTTTTAAAATGTTACTTACAATGAAATGGATATGAAATTTTCCCTTTTATTAGCAGTGCCCTTGTAAGGAATAAGTGCTATTATTTTTCTCTGTTGATGCTTCTATAAACCCCCTCTTATTGGAAATTACTCAGTTTAATTACTTTTTGTTACAGATGGCATTTACTCTGCTAGGTCAGTTTGTAAATACTTAAAAGTTATAATGTGGAATTCTCACGTGTATTAATTTTGTTCTTGCTCTCTCCAGGTTTTATTGCTTCAGACATGACATCAAGACACTCCAGTACCCAGCTGTGGTTAATTACACATTATCATGAAATGGGATCTTTGTACGACTATCTTCAGCTTACTACTCTGGATACAGTTAGCTGCCTTCGAATAGTGCTGTCCATAGCTAGTGGTCTTGCACATTTGCACATAGAGATATTTGGGACACAAGGGAAACCAGCCATTGCCCATCGAGATTTAAAGAGCAAAAATATTCTGGTTAAGAAGAACGGACAGTGTTGCATAGCAGATTTGGGTAAATTTCTAAAAAATATTTTTTTCATTACCAGTTTTACTTTTATTTCAATGTTTAGCTGAGTTGTGTTTCTCCCCCACAACATGTTATGAAAAATTTAAACATGCAGAAAAGTTGAAAGTTTACAATGAACACCATTATACCCACCACATAGATTCTCACATTAACATTTTATATCCTTAAACATTATTATGTATTTATCCATCTATTCACCTCCCCATCCATCAGTCCATCTCAACCTTTGATAGAGTTCAAAGTAAATTGCAGACAGAGGAATCCTTGCTTCTAATGATTTCAACATGCACACTAGTATATTATTGGCAAGAGTGCATTATTTGCTTTTTCTTTTTCAGGCAAAATTTGTATACTGTGAGATATACAAATCTTAAGTACCTTCTGAGAGTTTTGACAAATGCTGTAAAACCCAAACCCCTGTTGAGATACAGTTTCCCATTACTGTTGACAGTTACCTCAAGCTCATTCAGTCAGTCCCTGCCACACTCCACCTCAGAGGTAACCAATACTGTTGCATTCTGATTTTGCAAACCTTCACATGATGTAGGTGCACAATAAATACTCTGTAGAATTAGTTTGTCTTAAAAGTGGTCTCTAAAGTCATTCTGTAACCAAGGGAAAAGAATCCAGTTAAGAAATAGGACAATAATCCCCAAACTGACTCACTCTGTTCCCTGTTAGGATGGTTCATTCTTATGGTGTTAGAATGGTACTCAATGTAGCTTTAATTGCATTATAAAGAAGAGTATTTTCATTTATAGTGGCATTTTATATAAAACCATGTTCATCCTGGATTCCTAGAATATTGGCTGAATAATTGTGCTAATGAGAACTGAATTGTAATAACTATATTCAATTCAGTGGACTATTCAGAGCCTTCTACGTGATTAAATGTAGTTTATATGATATTCATATTATCGAAATTATTGTTAGACTGATAAAGATTTAGACAAAAATAGCTTTAATTATGTAAATAACAAAATTTATTTGTGTTCGTTTTTAAACATAAGGGATTTCACGTGTTAGGAAAATTTACTTCCTTTGGATCCCTTTAAAGTCTTTGCTTTTATATTGAGAAATTACAGTGTTTCTTAAGTAGGAGAAGAAAGATTTTAGGTTAAGCATCGAAAGAGCATGGCCCTAAAATTTTTTGCAGGCATTCTTAGTTGTGGTGGAGAGGTCTTTTATGGCTTATTCCATGGCTCTTAGAGCCAGGGTGATTTCTTTTTAAATTCTGGCTTTCTCAATTATTAACCCTGTATTTTTGTGCAAGTCTATTTATCTATTTACCTGGCCCAAGTGCTGGCACTGCTTACACTCAGTGAGACAGGGACAGTGAGGGCAAAGGAGGGTGGGGCTGGGAGGTGGCCAAGAAGAACTCCAGGGCTTGACATTGTGCCCTGTACTTCTGCGTTGTTAGAAACTTTCATAACAGTGTGATCATATATTATTCATATAACGAAAAAATAATGAAGCCCAACTCACAGGATTCTGGTAAGGCTTCGAAATATTATAAATGTCTGGCAAATTATAAGGATTCAAGTTGTAGCTGCTGTTATAATCCAGTGGTCTGGGGAGGGTGGATAAATTGAGGCAGCTCTTGGTTTTGGTTTATGGGACTTGGTGGGGAAGGAGTTGAGGGGAGCTTTGTGGTAAGTCCAGCTAATTAATTCTTCAACTGCATTTCTTTTGGCTTGTAACCTTCCAATTAGATATATTGGTTTGTATAAAAATCTGTTAAGGAGTTATTTTTCAGGATATGGTAAACAATGCAGTACAGGAAACAACTCCAAGATCATAATTTGTATATAATTTTTCAGTGTATACCTAGCAATTAAGCATCACTTATTAGAAATAGTACTCAATGATTAATCCTGCAGAAAGGTCAGTATTCTATTGATTGATTGATTGATTGATTGAGAGAGGGTTTTACCCTGTTGCCCAGGCTGATCATAGGTCACTGCAACCTTGATCTACTGGGCTTAAGCAATCTTCCTGCCTCAGTGTCCCGAAATAGCTGGGACTACAGATGTGCACCACCGCACCTGGGTAACTTTTTTTGGTTCTTGGTAGAAGTGAGGTCTCATTATGTTGCCTAGGATGATCTTGAACACCTGAGCTCAAGTGACTATCCCATCTTGGCCTTCCAAAATGCTGAGATTACAGATGTGAGCCATTGTGCCTTGCCTATTTTTCTAACTAATTATTAAAAAATGCAAATGTTATAATGATCACTTAAATCCTGAACACCTAAATCCAAAAATTATTAAAACGTTGCCAGGTTTGCTTTATCAGTCTGTGGTGGTGTGTATAGTTTTGCCAGTCCATTTGAAAATAAAGTGTTTCAGGCATCACAACACTATACTCCTTAGTACTTCCAAACACATCCCTTGAAAATACTTTAAAATCTGTGTTCTGCATAATCAGTTCATCATATCTACAGATTCTTGATAATTCTGTAGTATCATTTGATGTTCATTTTCAAATATTTCCAGTTTTTTCAAAAAAGAACTCAGGCACAGTTTACAAATTGCATCTGGTTTTTTGTCATCTTTAGTGTAAAAATTATTTATTACTAAGAACAAATTACTTGTATTAATTTAGCAGCTTACAACAACACAGATTTGTTATCTCACACAGTCCCTTGAAGGTCAGGAATCTTAGAATGACTTAGCAGTGTGGTTCTGGCTCAGGGTCTCATGAAGGTTATAGTCATCTGAAGGCTCAACCGGAGCTGTAGGATCCAACTCTCTGATGACACACTTACAGCCATGATTGGCAGCAGGCCTCAGTTCCTTGCAGTGGGATCTCCCGACAGGGCTTCTTGAGTGTCTTTATATATAGTGCATGATGAGTGAGCTGAGAGGGACAAACAGTAAGTCTTTTATAATTTTATAATGACTTTTATGTCCTAATTGTGAAGATACCCACTGTCACTTCTGCCGTATTCTATTCAATAGTCCAGCATACACTCAAGGGATGGGGAATTATGCTTCACCTGGAGAATCTAGCTGTGTTGGCTTTAAAATGTGTCCACAAGTTCTTTGAAGCTTCTCCCATCTTCAGAATATCTCCATGTTCTATTTAACCTGCACCTTTTACATATTCTGGTATTTAGACTCTTTGGTTCTGGAAATGGTGGAGGGATATACTGTAGTCTCCTCTTATCCGTGGGGAATACCTTCCAATATTCCCAGTGGATTCCTGAAACCCAGGATAGTATCAGATTCTATATATACTATGTTTTTTTCTATTACATATCTATTATAGTTTAATTTATAAATTAGGCACAGTAAAAGATGAACAATAAGTAATAATAAAATGGAACAATGATAGCAATATGCTATAATAAAATTTATGTGAGTGTGGCCTCTCTGTCTCAAAGTGTCTTAATTGTACAGTACTCGCCTATTTTTGGACCGCAGTTGACTGTGGGTAACTGAAGCATAAGGGGGTCTATTGCATTGGATTTGGGAGGTGTTCATAGTATCCATAGAATCTTGGGGTTGATTATAAAAGTAGAGGAAAGAGGAACCCGTTTTAGTTGAATGCAGTTCCAGTATATTTGCTAATGATGAAGGATGAGATGAGGTGTGCTAGCTTCCTGATGTTATATGAAATTGTCATGCCCTACATTCAAAGCCATGGAGTGGAAGATGAAGCATTCTCAGATACGGCTTGAGAGATCCCCAAGGGATACTGGGATCGCAATGGTTTACAGGGACTGCCTGCTCCAGTTCAGCACTTTTCATTACAACAAATGTTATAGGAATCGTTTTCAGTCAGTCTGCATATACATCAATAACATAAAATCATCCTCAAATAAAGCATGCATGTATCTGTCTGTCCCCGCTGGCCAGTGAAGAAGGCCCATTCCCTAGTTGACAGGAATTCTGGAATGAGTCATGCTTGACCGGGCGCGGTGGCTCAAGCCTGTAATCCCAGCACTTTGGGAGGCCGAGGCGGGTGGATCACGAGGTCAAGAGATCGAGACCTTCCTGGTCAACATGGTGAAACCCCGTCTCTACTAAAAATACAAAAAATTAGCTGGGCATGGTGGCATGTGCCTGTAATCCCAGCTACTCAGGAGGTTGAGGCAGGAGAATTGCCTGAACCCGGGAGGTGGAGGTTGCGGTGAGCCATGATGGCGCCATTGCACTCCAGCTTGGGTAACAAGAGTGAAACTCGGTCTCAGGAAAAAAAAAAAAAAAAAAAAAAGCATTTGAAAGCCATTTAACCCGAGAGTTGTGCTTTCAATTGAGATCCAGTTAAATGCCCTCTGTTTCGGTGATTCTAGAGAAAGGCCTGTGGGTTTGGTCAGCATTATTGCTTAGATAAGCAGCTCTTCCTTTAGGAATAAAGCAGTGCTTATAACACTCTGCCCTTTATGTGGTGATAAATTACTTCAAATACTCTATCTCACACTGTTGGAAATTTGTGTTTGGAGACTAGTGAGAGCAGTGGTGGAACTCGAGAGCTTAATTTGCTTCTTGTTAAGCCAGTTTGAGGCTCACATTTAATATGTGAGCCTGTTTTCCTGTGGACTTCAAACACTGGCCACATATTGGCTTAGTGCATTGGTCTACCATTTACCCAAAACTTTTTGTCTCTTAGAGGTTCATATATTAACCTAATAGCCTCAGAATGTTTCTGCCAGTCGCTTTTCTGCTCTCACCCCAGAAATAATCACAAAGGGCATTCTAGGGATTATTCTGAGTATAATGCAGCAGTGACCCTGGGTCCACAAGAGGGCACTTTTGATTGGGGTTAGTTAAAAATCCTTCAGCAGCCTGTTATGAGAAAGGAAGTGAGTTGGTTACATTGTTATCTTCTTCCTTTCAGGCTTGGCAGTCATGCATTCACAGAGCACCAATCAGCTTGATGTGGGGAACAATCCCCGTGTGGGCACGAAGCGCTACATGGCCCCGGAAGTTCTAGATGAAACCATCCAGGTGGATTGTTTCGATTCTTATAAAAGGGTCGATATTTGGGCCTTTGGACTTGTTTTGTGGGAAGTGGCCAGGCGGATGGTGAGCAATGGTAGGTATCTGATCTAATATAATATTGTCTTAATCCAGGTTCTCTTGATCTAGCTACCTTTACAACAGCAGAAGGGACTATTGAAGTTCACATTGTTCTTTGAATCATGCTTGTCAAGTTACAGGCTTTCATATTTGATTTATGGCTGGTAGATGGCATGTAACAGCTTTTATGTTTGAAATACACAACAGCAAGTGATGGTTGAAAAACAGTATTTCTGGAAGAGACTAGCCATTCCTTGGTTTTTCTTTGGATTTGCTCCATATATCTTTTCTTTTAAATTTTCAAATTGATACATAATACTTGCATTTATGGGGTATATGTGATATTTTGATAAATATATATAATATGTAGTGCTCAAATCAGTGTATTTAGGCTGTACGTCACCCTGAACGTTTATCTTTGTGTTGGGGACATTTCAAATAGTCTCTTCTAGGTATTTTGAAATATATAGTATATTATGTTAACTATAGTCACACTACTGTGCTATTGAACATTAGAACCTATTTTTTCCATCCAGCTCTATATTTGTATCCATTAACCAACGTCTCTTATAACCTTATTTGTCTGTTTTTGTTTTTGTTGCCTATGTTTTAGAGGTCTTAGCCATAAAATTTTTGCTTAGATGAATTCAAGTGCTTCTCCTGTGCTTTCTTCTAGTATTTTTATAGTTTGGGGTTTCAAATTTAAGTATTTAGTTTGTTTTGAGTTGATTTTCTTATCTGGTATGAGATAGGAGTCTGGCTTCATTCTTCTGCATATGACTGGCTATTCAATTTTCCCACCACCATTTATTGAAGAGGGTATCCTTTCCCCAAATTATGTTCTTAGCACCGTTGTGGAAAATCATTTGGCTGTAAATATGTGGATTTATTTCTGGTTTCTCTATTCCGTTCCATTAGTCTATGTGTCTTGTTATATCAATACCATGCTGTTTTGACTACTATGGTTTCATCAATTTGGAAGTCAGGTAATGTGATGCCTCCAGCTTTGCTCATTTTGCTCAGTATTGCTTTACTATTTGGAGTCTGTTGTGAATTCATACAAATTTTAGGATTGTTTTCTCTGTTTCCATGAAGAATGTCATTTGTATTTTGATAGAGTTTGCAGTGAATTTGTAGACTGCTTTGAGTAGTATGGTCATTTTAACAATATTAATTCTTCTAGTTCATAAGCATGGGATGTCTTTCCATTTGTTTGTGTCCTCTTCAACTTTTTTTCATCAGTGTTTTGTAGTTTTCCTTGTAGAAGTGTTAATTCTTAGATTTTTGTTATTTTTATTTTTTTGGTGGCCATTGTAAATGGGACTGCTTTCTCGATTTCTTTTTCAGTCAGTTTGTTGCTGGTATATAGAAACAGTACTGATTTTTGTAACCTGTATTTTTAGTTTTTGAGAAATCTCTACAACTGTTTTCTGTAATGACCCTATTCATTTACAGCTCTTGTCAGTTCTAAGAGATTTTGGTGAGTTTTAGTTTTTTTTAGATAAAAGATCGTGTCATCTGCAAAGAGGGACAATTTGACTTCCCTTTTTCCATGTTGGATGCCTTTTATTTCTTTGTCTTGCCTGATTGCTCTGGCTAGGACTTTTAGTAATATTTTGAATAAGAATGGTGAAAATAGGGATTCTTGTCTTGTTCCACTTCTTAGAGAAAAGGCTTTCAGCTTTTTCCCATTTAGTACAAATTTACCAGTGAGTTTGTTGCATATGGCCCTTATTATGTTGAAATGTGTGTATTCCTTCTATAACTACTTTGTTAAGTTTATATCATGAAGAGATGTTGAATTTTATCAAATACTTTTTCTGTGTCTATCGAGATGATTGTAAGATTTCGTAAGGTTTTTGTCTTTGATTTTGTTGATGTGATGTATCACATCAATTGATTTGCATCACTGGAATAAATCCCACTTGCTCATGATGTGTTATCTTTATGTGTTGTAGGATTCAGCTTGCTAGTATTGTGTTTAGGATTTTTGCATCTATGTTCATTAGGGATATTGGCCTATAGTTTTCTTTCTTTGTTGTGCCATTGTCTGGTGCTGGCCTCATAGAATCAGTTAGGGACAGTTCAGTCCTCTTCAATTTTTTGGAATAGTTTGAGAAGGATTGCTGTTAGTTCTTCTTTTTAAGTGTGGAAGAATTCAGCAGTAAAGCCAGCCAGTCTTGAGATTTTCTTTGTGGGGATACTTTTTATTACTGATTCAATCTTGTTACTCATGGTCTGTTCAGTTTTTAATTTCCTTTTGGTTCCATCTAGGTAGATTATATCCATTCCCTCTAGGTTTTCCAATTTGTTTCTAATAATTTCTGATGATTCTTTGTATTCCTGTGGTATCAGTCATAATGTCTTCTTTTTTGTTTCTGATTTTATTTACTTGGGTCTTCTCTCGTTTTTTTCTTGGTTAGTGTAGTTAACGGTTTATCAGTTTTGTTTACCTTTCCAAAAAACTAACTTTTTATTTCATTAATCCTTTGTATTATTATTACCTTTTGGTTTCTATTTTGTTTAGTTTTGCTGTGATCTTTCTTATTCTATTAATTTTGGGTTTGGTTTCTTTTTGCTTTTCTAGTTCCTGGAGGCCTCTCTTTAGATTCTTTATTTGAAATCTTTCAACTTTTCTGATGTGGGTGTTTATTGCTACAAATTTCCCTGTTATCACTTCTTCTGTTATTGTTTTTGTTATTGTTGTGTTTCCATTTTATTTGTTTCAAGAATTTTTTTTATTTCCTTCTTAATTTTTTCACTGACCCAGTGGTTGTTCAGGAGCATATATATATATATATATATATATATATATATATATATATATATTTTTTTTTTTTTTTTTTTTTTTTTTCATTTCCACGTGTTTCTACAGTTTCCAGAGTTTCTCTTGTTACTGATTTCTAGCTTTATTCCATTTGCTGAGATTTGTTTTGTGGCCTAACATATGGTCTATTCATATGATGATGAGAATAATGTATATTCTGTAGCTGTTGGATAAAATGTTCTGTAAATGCCTGTTAGGTCCATTTGGTCTGAAGTACATTTTAAATCTAATGTTTCTCGGTTTTTTTTGTCTACGTGACCTGTTCAGTGCTGAGAGTAGGATGTTGAAGTCCCCAGCTATTGCTGTGTTGGACTCTTATTTATCCCTTTAGGTGTAATAATAATTGATTTGTATAAAAATGTTCCAGGCTAGTTGGGGTTGCCTCACTCCTGTAATCCCAGCACTTTGGGAGGCCAAGGCAAGCAGATCACGAGGTCAGGAGTTTGAGACCAGCCTGGCCAACTCTACTAAAAATACAAAAAAAAAAAAAAGAGCCAGGCATGGTGGTAGGCACCTGTAGTCCTAGCTACTTGGGAGACTGAGACTGGAGAATCACTTGAACCTGGGATGTGGAGGTTGCAGTAAGCTGAGATTGCGCCACTGCACTCCAGGCTGGGTAACAGTGAGACTCCATCTCAAAAGAAAAAAAAAAAAGCTCCATTGTTGGGTGCATATATATCTAGAATCATGATATTCTCTCTCCCTTTATCATTATACAGTTGACCTTGAACATCACAGGTGTGAACTGCATGATTTTTTTTTAGCCACATGTGAACAACAACAACAAAAAATACACTATTCATGAGCTACAAAGCTGAGTATACAGAAGGCCTGCTTTTTATATCTGTGGGTTTCATTGACTGTGTATGGATTTTGGTATAGATTGGGGGTCCTGGAACCAATCCTTCATGTAGATGGGGTATAGATTTGGTATAGATTGGGGGTCCTGGAACCAATCTATACCAAATCTATATACCCCCAATCTATACCCATTTTGGTATAGATTGGGTGTCCTAGAACCAATCCTCCACTGTACTGAGGGACCACAGTACAGTGACCTTTTCTGTCTCTTTTTACAGTTTTTGACTTAATGTCTGTTTTATTTGATAGAAGTATAGCGACTTCTGCTTGCTTTTAGTTTTCATTTGCGTGGAATATCTTTTTTTATTCCTTTACTTTCAGTCTATATGTGCCTTAACAGGTGAAGTGGGTTTCCTGTAGACATCATATGGCTGGGTCTTGTTTTTAATCTATTTAATCAGTCTATATCTTTTAATTGGGAGATTTAATCTGTTTATGTTCAAAATTATTATTTATAGGAGAGGACTTATTTCTGCCTTTTTCTTAGTTGTGTTCTGCTTGTTTTGTATATCCTTTGTTTCTTCTTCTGTTTTTTTTTTTTTGTTTGTTTGTTTGTTTGTTTTGGTGTGTGGTTTGTATATTTTCCTCTTTAAATTTTAATTTTTTCTCTTTCTCATTTTTGTACCTGCTCTACCAGTGCTTTATGCTTTTATGTGTTTTCATGATGGCATATATCATCCAGATACAGTATTTCCTAATGTGTTTCTTGTAGGGCCAGTCTAGTGATGATAAATTCCCTCAGTTTTTGCTTATCTGGGAAATACCTCATTTTTCCTTCATTTAAATGGATAGCTTTGTTGAATGTAGTATTTTTGGCTGACAGTTTTGTTTGTTCTTTCAGCATTTAAATATGTCATTTCATTCTCTCTTGGCCTGTGAGATTTCCGCTTAGAAATACTGTCAGTCTGGTAGAAGTCTTGTATATGTGATTTGATGCTTTTATCTTGCTGTTTTTAGAATTTTCTCTTTGTCATTGACTTTAAAAGTTTGTAATGTGCACTGGACAATACCATTTGGGGATGAATCTTTTTGGGAATCTTTGAGCTACCTCTATGTGGATGTCTATATACCTCTTGAAAGAGGTGGGAAGTTTTCAGCTTTTTTAATGAGGATAGGGATACATTTTCTATGCATTTGCCCATTTCTTTTCCTTCTGGAAATCCCAAAATTTGAATATTTGGTTGTATAATGATGTCCCATATTTCACATAGGCTTTGTTTGTTCCTTTTTGGTTGTGTGTTTGTTTGTTAGGCTGGTTATTTCAAAAGATGTGTTTTCAGGTTCAGAAATCTTCCTTCTGCTTGATTTAGTCTCTTGATTGCATTTTA